AGAGCCTTGGGAGACAGCAGTAGCGGCCCTGCGGATCCCAGGGACAGGACAGTCAGGCTGGGCCTGGCCAGACAGGGCGGTGGGGGCTGCGGAGGCAGCAGCAAAGCATCCACTGTCACCCCACTGCAGGCTGAGTACCCACGGCTGCCGTGTGGCGATCCTTGCCCAGCCCCATGCAGGTGTGACCTTGCACCTTGGCTCAGAGCAGCCTCAGCCTAGAGACCAGCAGGTGGCTGTAGACCTGCTTCCTCACCCTGCCTCTTCTGCCTCAAGGTGCTCACCGACTGGTTCTGGTTTCTGAGTTGCTCCAAAACCCCCCTCCCTCGGCTCTGTCTTCCCCACATGGTCCTGCCCTCCCTGCAGGTGTGTGTGTGTGTGGCACAGTGGTTCTCAAACCTCTGTGGGTGCGAAGGCCCATTGAGCACCCAGCTTACACAGATTGCGTACTCTCCATCTGAAAACAAATCCAAAACCTGAAACTGCGAGCTCTGACATGATGGCATGAATGGGAAATTCCACACCACGGAATCCTGTTTCAAGCACAAAATGATTATAAACCTTGTGCAAAAATCACCTTCAGGCTATGTCCAATAGGTAGATATGAGCCATACACGAATTTCAGGTTTAGATTTGGGTCCCATCCCTAAGATATCTCATTACATATATGCAAACATTCCAAAATCTGAACTCTGAAATAACTCTGGTCCTGGGTATTTTGGATAAAGGCTATGCAACTGGTACCAGACGTCAGAGCCCCGCCCTTGGAGATCACGATGTGGGAGGTGGGAGGGGGACCCAGGAATGGGTAGCACAGGTGTTTCTGATGAGCAGTCCTCAGGCCGCACTGGGAGAAAGACCAGAGGGAAGAACGTGAACTTCAGGGAATGCGGTGGAACTGGGTGACTTATTGCATTCTTGTGGAGTGGGTTAATTACCATTTCTGAGCCTCTGTGGCATCGTCTGTAAAATGGTCCCCACTTCGCAGCTTCATCCTCCAGGACAGGCAGGCAGTAAGGTGTCCGGCTGGGGCTTATTTAATAGAGTGTTCGGCTTCCTCTCTCCTTCCTTCAGCACTGGGGAAGTGGCAGCAGCGAATTTCAGTTCCTTCCCATCCTGGCGTCTCAGTGGCCTTTCCTTACAGGAGAGTCTGGGGGAGCATGCACAGCCCTGATGCTCCACGGGAAATCCTGACTCCTCAAGCAGGGGTATGCAAAGAAACTTCCAGGAGGTCCGAGGTGTGCCATCTGCTGTCATTTTTATTTGCAGTGAACCACAGAGTCAGGACACACACACACACACACACACGCATACACAGTGCACTATAGAACAAGTCCACGGCACTCTATGCAGGCAGACAGGCAGGCTGGAGCAGGCAACCACCACTAGCGTATCTACGCAGGGTGCAGGGGCACAGTGGAGGCAGAAGGGCAAGCCTGGCCCAGTGCTAAGTAGTGACTGCCTCAGTCGTGGCTCTGTGGGGTCTGCATTTCTGGCGGCAGCCAAGGAGTGTTGCGATCTTTAGCTTCAACCTGTGCTCAGGGTCGCCCAGAAACATTGAGGTTTAGCTGGATTCCCTAAGTGGCAGCTGCAGTTTTCATAGAGGGATTGAAATCTCTCCCAACACACCGGCAATTAGAAAGGTTAAAAGAGCTTTGATATACAGGAGGGAAAGTGCTTATCTTTCAGAGGTGCGTGTGCGTGTGTGTGTGTGTGTGTGTAAATGTGTGTGCGCATGAATGTGAATGTGTGTGTAGGCAGAGGGCTTCCCCAAGACAGTGTCTGGAGTGTTTCTTTCATGTCATCTCCCCCCCCCCCCCAATCAGCTGATTTCTGAGTACGGCCAATCCTCCAGAGGGAAGAAAAATGGATTCTCAGTGGGATAGCCTTTGTGGGTCAGCAGGGCTGAGGGGAGCCATGGGGCTGGTGGGAGACACATGCGGACAGAACCTCTTCCATGGGCACGCATTCACCCCAAGCAAGGGCAGGACTGCTGACGCAGGGAAGTCCCCAGAGCCCCCTTGTTTGACAGATGGAGAAAGGGAGGTCCCAGCAGGCTCAGGGGTGCATCTGAGACCACGTAGCTGAGCCAGGACCATGGCCCCCTCCTCCGGTTGCTCTGGCTTTCCCAGGCAGGGTTTCACTTCTTTCCCCATCAGGAGATGCGAACGGCTGCCTTCCACAGCAGCTTCTCGGGAGCGTTCCCAACAGGAAAGGGTCTCGAGACTTGTTTTCTGCAGAGAGAGAGAGAGAGAAGCCAGCATCAGAACTCCCTGAGCAAGTGGACGCTTGCAAGGAACAGCGGCCTCGGAGATAGCCACCAGGGGTGGAGGGTGACTGTACAGAGAGGCACAGAGCTTGCTTCTTCCCAGGCTAGGGCCGAGGACAGCTGTGTTGTTGGCTGGGTCAGCCACTTCTCTTCAGTTGGATTGCATGCCTCTTGCCATCTGGAGAAGGAAGAAATGCAATGTTGCAGACTGGGAAACCCGCCTGCTTGTTGACTCTGCACTGTCTCTGTCAAGACTGGAGACTACCCCGGTAGCTTAGTGGGGCTCAAGGCAGCCAACATCTGCAGCACTGGGCCCTGTCCAGGCAGGCAGCTGGCCTCTCACCCAGGGCCCCTGGGCAAATGGCTTTGGAGAGGAATTCTGTGGATGCTGATGGAGGACCAGTGCTGAATGACCGCCACTTGTTCTGCAGCTACAATCAGCCACGCGAGTGACCGACTCGACTTGGAAGGTTGGGCTCAATGACACCCAAGGAGGAGCCTTTTCCAACCTGAGGGGACCATGGTTCCAGAACTCCTTGCTCAGTGGACTTTTCTCATTAACTGAGCTAGTCTAGGGCCCAGTGTTGTGGCACAGACAGTTAAGCAGCTGCCTGTCAACACCGGCATCCTGTATTGGAGTATTGGTTCTAGGTCCCAGCTGCTCCCCTTAAGACCCTGTTCCCCCCACTAATGTGCTTGGAAAAATCAGTAGAGGATGGCCCACGTGCTTGGGTCCTTACTACTCATATGGGAGACCTATATGGAGTTCCGGCTGTTACAGCCCTCTGGGGAGTGAACCAGCGGGTGGAAGACCTCTCGCTCTTTTCTCTGCCTTTCAAATAAATACAATAATTTTTTTTTACAGAGTTAGACAATGAGAGAGAGAGACAGAGAGAAGGGTCTTCCTTCCGTTGGTTCAATCCCCAAATGGCCACTATGGCTGGCGCGCTGTGCTGATCCGAAGCCAGGAGCCAGGTGCTTCCTCCTGGGCCACAGCAGGGAGCTGGACTGGAAGAGGAGCAACCGGGACAGAACCGGTGCCCCAACTGGGATAGAACCCGGTGTGCTGCCGCTGTAGGCGGAGGACTGTCCTAATGAGCCGTGGCACTGAACATAATAATTGGTTTTTTAAAAAGAGAGGCAGTCTGTTAGAAACTGTGACTCCAGAAAGGTTGTATGTGTGGGTTTTGCTTATTGGCTTTGCTTCTGTTGGTTTTGCAGAAGCCAAACCCATTGAACTGCCAGAGCCTCTGGCTCCTTCCTTGTTCCTGATTCTGTCACTTCTATGCCGAAACCAATATCCTATGGCCTATGGGATGCTCATCTGTGTCATCACGGGTTCCACTCCCCAACAGTTCTAGCCCCCAAAAGGGCTTTTCCTTACAGTGTGACTCACGCAGTGAAGAGAAAAGGGAAAGTGGTACTGAACAGGCAGTGTCAGTGGGACGTCGAGGACACATCCACACGGGAGAAGCTGCGGGACGCTGGAGCGCACCCTGCAACTGGGCTCTGGAGTTGTCCTCTGCCCGTTCCCTGGCCTGGTCAGCACCGGCTTGCCTGGAGGTGACAAAGCGGCCAGGCGACCCTTGAGGTCCCCTCAGACCCTCCTAGTTCACGTTGAACACTCTGAAAGTATATCGTGGGAGAAATGTGGAGAGAAAGGTCCCGAGTAGCAGAGATGGAAGAGGTAGACTCTGGGAATAGGAGGAGTTTGAGAAAAGCAGGACGTGAGGGGGAGAGGAGGAAAAGAAACCCACATTGATTAGGTTAGGAGACGAGGGTACCGAGCTGGCGCGCAGGCGCTGTTTACCAATGCCGTGTTTATTGCTGAATCAACAAGTCAAGGCACGGATCATCCTCTCGAGGCCCACTGTCCGTGCGGCAGCAGGGAGGCATGGGACGGCTTGCCCGAGTGCCTCTTGCCAACTGGTGCGGAGTGGCTCCCGGAGGAGAAGCCCGAGCTGACCAGCAGGAGACGGCGCCTTTCTCGGGGGCCGCACTGAGGGTAGGCAGTGCCCCGGGGCCGTGGCCGTGAAGTCTGGAAGGAGAAGGTGAGCGGGCACAAGCCCAGGCCTGGCGTCTTCCCTGGCCCTGCCTCTGAGCTGCCAGACTGCAAGGACCCTGGGCAGCAACGGGAGCGCAATCGTGCAAGGGGCCTCACGGCTCCCCTGCTGCCGCAGCTCCCCCAGCCCGGAAGCCAAAGTCTGCTGCAAATCCGTCCAGACCCCTCCTGTGAGTCCCCCACAATAGCCACTGGGTTTGGGGGAGGGCTCATGGCTTTCCCTTGCTTTCCTTCTCCTCTGAAACTTGGGCTGCAGTTTCTAGATGTTTCTCCCCTCCTTCAGGAACATGGAGTCTGGAAACAGGTTTCCCACCGAGGCCACAGGAGGCAGGACCCACTTCCTGTTAGAGGAGCTTTGAGACCACGTGACAGCGTCCCATACATGTCCCTTTTCGTCCCCTTGGGGGGCTGCAGGGGATGCGCATCCACTTTGCCTTTGCCTCTGTGCCCTGGCCTGCTCACACACATCTTAGAAGGGACGTTGGAGCTGGGGTCCTCTGAGCTGCCGGGCAGCTGCTCAGCTGCTCGGCCTTTTGATTCATTGCTCCTTGGCCATGACCCACGGCAGGAGGGCCCCACGGCTGGAGTGGCCGAGCCGAGGGGCAGTGCCACCGAGAAGGGGGCTCAGCACATTCAAGCCAACTCCATCTTTGGAATTCTTCTCTCCCTTAGGAAACTGCCACTGTGAATCACTGGGAACCCGGAGGAGAGAATGTGCTTCCTTTTGGCCCCTACAAAACAACTGATGAGCCGCACTACAGGTAGCCCCCACCCCACCCCTTCCGAGGAGGTAGAGAAGAGAAACATCACATTGCCTAGGCAAGGCAGGCGCAAGTGTGGGGAGCCCGGGCCTGCCACCCGGCTCCGTCTCCGGCAAAGCCTGCCAAAAGCGCTTACATAAGCCCCAGTGAGCTCATGTGCTTTCCCGCCCAGCAGCAGAGCCTGAGCGGCAGGGCCAGGGGTTAGGCTGGAGGAGGAAGCTGAGAAGAGATTGTGTTCCTCCAGGGAGGGGGCTCTCTGTGCAAAATGCATTCCTGCACTCTGGAAGGTGAAAGCATTTCTCCCCGTGCCAGGCCCCCTAGACCTTCCTACGTGAGGCGTTGCTGTCAGGAAGGGAAGAGGCGATGCTGGATCCCAGGAACCCTATGGCGTGGGGGAGGGGTGGCAGAGGTGGGGGTGTTTGGTGAGTTGAATGTATGCAGATGTGCACTTGGGGTGTGGCTGGGGTATCCCACGGGCCCACCCCCAGGCTGAGGAGCAGGCCCTGGCTGAGGATCACGCCTTGGTTTGTAGTTTTGGCCACTGCCTAGGCTGTGCTCGGAAGGGAAACTCATTTTATTCCTTGACAGAGACAGGCCGAATGTTCTGGAACCCGCTGTCACTCATTTCCTTTTGCTTGGCAGTGTCACTGAGCCCAGTGACCTTGCAAACTCACTTGCAAACCGCCCTGCCTGGCACCCTGTCCAGACACCTGCAGTCGCCCACCCTGATCTCAGCACCTAAGCACAGAGCAGGTGGAGTTACACCTGCTTTCCTTACACTTTCCTATTGCAAATCCTCTCTCTACCTGTGTAAGCGAGCCAATGCTTTTTGACCAGGCTTCCTATATGTTCTCTGAGGGGCTAACACACCTCCGAGTTCAGTAACGCCCACTGAGGGGGAGGATCTGTCTGTCCATCTCAGCAGCCTGCCCCTCCCCCAGGCTAGCTTCATATTCTTCACCTGATGGAGGCAACAGGTACAACTATTTGTACCTAAGTAAGTGAACCTGAGTGTTCTGCTTGTTCAAAATAATACCATGCCCAGCCTCTCTGTAACCACTAATGCCGCCCTAAATGAATTCTTGCTTCGGAATTAGCACCTCCTCCAGGTGTTTTCCATCTTTCATTGTGGCATCATCCGTGCCTTATCACATTTCCCAAATTAGTGTCTTTTGAGAATTTAGTTGATGTGCTGTTTACTTTCCTCTTTCCACATCAGTCAGGAATGTTTTGAGTGTAGCTAAGACTTTGCTTGGGTTCCACCCAAAACTTTCTTCTCGTGAGTGATGTCCTGATTAACTTCTATTTGGGTGTCAACTGGATTGAGTCAGTTGAGAAAGGCCCAAGCTCACATGCACGCCATCTTGAAGTCTTCCCCCAGCAACGCGCACGCTACACACAAGCTCCGAAGCCGAAGACAGGATTCCTCCATGGTGATGGATGCCTACGAACTTTGGTGTGAGATGTCATGACACCTACAAGATACTTTTACAAATTTCAGTTAAACGTGATGAAGCAGACGGCAAAATGCTAGCAACCGTGAAATACAAGTGATGGGTACACAGCGCTCACTACACCCATGGCCCTACTTTCCTTGTGTGTTTGGACGTTTTCACAATAAAAAGAAATTACTGCCAGCTGTTCTCATTCCAGGGCGTGGAGGGAACCTGGCGGGGCTTCGGGAGGCTGGCGGGGAGCAGAGGGGGAACGGGAACCGATGCATCCTGTTAGGTTGATGCTAGTACCTTCAGGCCTGCTGGTAGCAGCGGAGGATGGGAGCGAACCCCAACAGCAGTCAGCACACCCAGCACCCTCCATGCACGTGTGGTTCTCTGGGTCAGAGGATCTAGCTCTCAAGCCTTTCACCTCAAGCATGCCGGGGACAGAGGAACTATTCACCCGGAAAACTTTTCTTGACGGTCATGCCATTTCTGGTAACCAATCCGTACCATCCGTACCAGTTTTCTCAAAAAAAAAAAAAAACAAAAAAAAAGACAAAAAACACGAGTTCGTTCATGACTTTGAAAGTACTGTTGTTTAGTCCCTCAACAGAAAAATAAAGACTTTCTTGAATCTTCTTCCGGATTGCCCCTTACATTGTGGGATTTTATAATTCATTTCCTTTTATTATCTAAGGTACCGTTTTTATTACTCTGTGCTTTGTAATTCTTCCTAAGATTCCATTTTAATAAAAATAATTTTATGGAAAGGAAAAAAGTTAGTTTTGCTTCACTCTAGAGGTAGTCTCCTTGGTTCCAGATATGATTCACCCAGTTTTTAAAAGGACATCTCCAATCTCCTCCTACCATAAAATATCAGTTACCAAATTCTGATGTTTGGCTACCCGGCTTTATTCCTCTTGCCCTTGATCTTTACTACGGTCACTGTGTATCTTTTAATATGATCCTTATCACTGTGTGAATACTCTGAGCTGCTTGAGGTCTCTGCCAGGTGTCTGTTGTCGGCCATCTCTTCTCTGGGATGCAGCCCAGCTGGTGCCTGGGAGCAGGGAGAGGTGAGGGGGGGGGGAGGAGAGGCACTGACCATCCCTCCTCAGGTGCCCCTGCACTGGGACATACTCTGTGGACCGGGGAGGATGAGGCTTGGGCTTCCCTGTTGAGAAGGCAGTCAGTCACGCACGGGGCTTGGCTCACTGCGCTTGAAGCTCCGAGGAGTTGCTAATGGCACTGCAGACTCAGATGAAGGCTCTGAAGGTGGACGCCGACAGACCCGAATCCTGGGGTCTGCCACTACGACATCTGTTTGTCTCTTCATTTGTCACCTGGGAACCATGTCGTATCAACTACCTTCATAAGGAGCTTGTGAAGTGCAAAAGTAGTCCTAAAAGTCATAGTCTTTAGACTAAATGATGGTTGTTATTTAATAACAATTTCCTTACTACCTTGACATTTCTGTTTTAACAACAACCCAACTTTAAAGCTTTTCTTAGATTTTCAAAGGATTTCTCAGTCTTCTCTTCCCTTTTTGGAGGACAGTGTTCACGCTCACCTCCCTTGCTCAACTCGATCTGCTGAGAAATCCGGTTTTCTGTCTCGTTTCATTTCACAAATCTGCATCTTGTTATGCTGGTCTCTTACTGTGTTGTGACTCCACTTTGGTGCTGTCCTTTAATTCTTTGTCAGTCCTGACCGGATCTCTAAGGAGCGCATGGCAAGTATTTCTGTCTTTCTATCCAAGCTGAATTTCATATTTTCTGAATCATGAAACTGCCCTCCATGTGACCTAGAAAGCCCTTTGATGATCCATATTTAGCTGTATCCATCACTCAACAGATGTCTGGATAGTTAAAGGCCCCCATGAGCTCCCTCTACATCCTGTGGTTTCAAGTTCCTGAGTTGTTCGTTTAAAAGCTTTCATCCCCCTGCTCTCCACCCAGTTCAGGTTAGAAGGACTGATTCCCTGTTTAGCTATCCATTTTGTTCATTTAATAAATATTAGCTCATCACCTACTATGTGCTTGATACTGGGCTCCATTTATCTCTTTGCCTCCAAATTGCATTTTTCCTAATCTGCCCCATTTATAGCAATCCTCCATATTTTCTGATGATCCCTCTAGAATTTGTACTGAACAACCAATTACATGGCCTCTTCTACCTGCAGTGTTGTCTGACCCCTGGAAGACGTGGAGGCATTAATGATAGACTCTGATGCCTTGCTACAATGTACCTGCTATGACATCCAGAGATGTCAGGACAACCTACGTTCACATGGCTCCAACGAAGGGAGTTTAATTAGATGAGGCTGCAGGACTCAGCTTGCCGTCCTGCACCGTGGACGTGAAGAATGAAGTGGTAGCAAGGGCAGAAGCCCAGCGAGTTAAGTAGCTAATTTCCAAATAGGTTTTCTATGCCCCTGGTTTCCAGAGACGCCCATGAGGAAAGCTGCTTCTCTGCTTTTTGAGCTCTCTGGATCTTCCCAGTAGATAGCATCTCTTGGCATCTGAGAGGCAGCCTGCCATTCTGTTCTCCTGGGGAACACAGATGGCCCAGCCCACGCCTATCACTAATGAGGATCACATGCACAGCCTCTTTGCTGGAGGCTCCCTCCGACGATCCCAGCGCCCCTCCCCTGGGCTGGCTGGTCACTGTGGACCACCGCATTTCAGTCTCACAGGGCTGTGTGCTGCTCTCCCACTCACTCACAGAGCTGAACAACATCAAAACATCTATTAGGTAGGCCCTGGGAAACGAGACATTGAGAATGAAGAGACAGCTGCTAATTTGAGTGCAAGGGTGAGGTTTGGGGATCCAGTTGTGCGTGGAGGCTGTTTCGAGTTTAAAAATGAAAAAGCACTGGAAATTTGGCAGTAGGAGCATGAGTAGATGCCTAGCAGAAGTTGAACAGATAGAACGTCCATTTTTAAAGCCCTGTAATTCCATCTAGAATACTAGCAGCATTGGAGAGAATTAGATAAAAATGTTAAAGTCAGTGAAATACAGTGGGAAAAGCACAGGTTTTGAGGTGAGACAGGCCCGTGTCAAGTCCTAATTGTACCACTTGCTCTGTTGAACAAGTTACTTCACCTTCCTTTGCACTAATTCCTTTATCTATGAAATGAGCATAATGCCCACATCATAACAGGATATTCTGAAAATTAAAAGGAATAGTATGTGAAAAGACCTTGAAAAGTGCCTGGCACTCAGGAAGGAATGAGTGAGAATTTCTTTCTTACCTCCCTCTCCTGTTTTCTACGGTAGAAAGTTGAAAGGCACACTCCAATCTAGTAGAATACCAAACTGAGTAAAAAAAACAAGGGGTCCAAATGAGAAATCTATACCATGCTATCCTCCCATTTTAGTTAAAACTTGGTTGCTGTTTGAGATATGAAATAATTTATTTTTCCTTGCTATTACAAGTCTAAAGCTTATGACTAGGAGAAGAGTTTCAAACTGCTAATATGGACCCCACAGGCAACAGAAAAATCTCTTTTGGTCTTTAATACTTTAACCCATCCTTTAACTTTCAGAGCTACAAGGAGAGGTCATATCATCACCAGCTGCCCTGGAGGTGCCAGCGAGGCAGGTCCATCCATGTGTATACAGTTCTGGTCTAACCAGTCTGTACCCATGCATCCAGAAATCTTTTTTGGGGGGAGTCATCTTTTTATTCTTTTGGAAAATAAAGGATACAAGAAATTCTGTTCAAAAGGAATTAGTAGGGGTGCAATGGGTTGGGCTGCTGTTTGGGACACCCACATCCCCTACTGGAGTGCCTGGCATCAAGTCTTGCCTCTGCTTCTGAATCCCGCTTCATGCTACTGCACACCCTGTGAGGCAGCAGATGATGGTCAAGTACTTGGGTTGCTGCCACTCTTGTGGGAGACCCAGTTGGGGTTTCTGGCTCCTGGCTTCAGCCTGACTGTTGTGGGGCATTTGGAGAGCAAACCAGCAAATGCAAAATTTCTCTGTCACTCTCTTTTTTTTTCTTAAAGATTTACTTATTTATTCAAAAGTCAGAGTTACACAGAGAGAGGAGAGGCTGGGGTGGGGGGTCCTTCCATCCAATGGTTCACTCCCCAGATGGCCACAATGGCTGCAGCTGAGCCGATCCAAAGCCAGGAGCCAGGAGCTTCTTCCAGGTCTCCCACGTGGGTGCAAGGGCTCAAGGACTAGGGGCATCTTCTACTGCTTTCCCAGGCCATAGCAGAGAGCTGGATTGGAAGTGGAGCAGCTGGGCCTTGAACCACGCCCATATGGGATGCTGGTGCTTCAGGACAAGGCATTAACCCACTGTGTCACAGCGTCGGCCCCATGTCACTCTCTTTCAAATAAATAAATAATCAAATATATGTCTTTAAAAAAACCAATCAGGAGCCGGCGCCGCGGCTCACTAGGCTAATCCTCCGCCTAGCGGCGCCGGCACACCGGGTTCTAGTCCTGGTCGGGGCGCCGGATTCTGTCCCGGTTGCCCCTCTTCCAGGCCAGCCCTCTGCTGTGGCCAAGGAGTGCAGTGGAGGATGGCCCAAGTGCTTGGGCCCTGCACCCCATGGGAGACCAGGAAAAGCACCTGGCTCCTGGCTCCTGCCATCGGATCAGCGCAGTGCGCTGGCCGCAGCGCGCTGGCCGCGGCGGCCATTGGAGGGTGAACCAACGGCAAAGGAAGACCTTTCTCTCTGTCTCTCTCTCTCACTGTCCACTCTGCCTGTCAAAAAAAAAAAAAAAAAAAAAAAAAAAAAAAAGAAAAAAAACAACAACAACAACAACAACAAAAAAAAAACAATCAGGAATGGAGACTCCTTGTCCTAAAAGAGTAACTTTTGGGGATACCATTACAGGAGATGATTAGATGCATATTCCCATCTCCAGTGAGAACAAGCAACAACAAACAGGAAATGTTGGACTTCAGGCAACAATATTTAATCCGTAGAGGCTAGCAGACAAATGAAGGACTCCATGGCTCCTTCCTATGAGTTCTCAGAGCTTCTCTAGGTATCCCCTAGTAGGGATCCAGGACTTGACTACAAACCTCTATGGGCATTTTATGGATGCTGGTGTTTTGTGAGACACATTTGAGGAATTGATGGCCTCAGATACGCTATGCAGACTTGGAGCGGACGTTCAAAATAATTTTCTGATCGATTCCTGTTGGATCCTGGAACTGGTGGCCAAGAAGACTGTGAATTTCCTTCCTGGGAAGACTGCTGACCTCTCTTCATTCCTCACTAGCCCTCCCCCACTCTCCTGCCTGGGAGTGTGGAGGCACAGGTCTGTGACACAGGGAGCCGGGGAGTCTAGATCCTTCCCTTCCACAAGATTCTATTTTCATTGGATCCTGCTGGTGGTAGTGGTGCACGGAAGGCACAGCCTAGCTGGGACAGGAGGTAACTGAGTGTTTGGGCCAAGAAGAGAGGGGGCTAGAGATAGGAAAAATTGATGCAATTATTTTTGGCAGGAGTTGGAACCAAAGCAGCACAAGAGAGTAAGTTTTAAGACTCTCTGGCAAAGCCACTTCCTAATCTGTCACTGAGTATGTGTAAAAAAGTGATTAGTGGGTCTCTATATTTATCATGATTACTCACAAATATGTAATTTACATAATATATACAGCACATTAAGTACTATGTCACCTTATATAATGTGCATATGTATAATGTATATGCATGTTATGTAATGCCAGTCTGGAGGCTCTTCCAGGTTCTGCCAAGTATTTCCTAATTTATTTGGCAATTTCAACATATCTTTTCCATCTGTGTAAAGAACTCTCTTGAGAGGAGCTGGTCTCTGACCTGAATATAATCATTCTAAGTCTATATCCACTCTCAACTCACTGGGGAAACCCCACAAAGGCCATGTTATAATGAGATGCAACCCCTAGTCCATCAACCCAGGGATAGCACAAGGCACTTGAAGGTTTCCTGTTTCATTGTTTTTATTGCTAGTGGGATAGAAGTGTGGGGGCAGGTGAGAACATGTCTATAGCACGGTCGGAGTCACAATCAGGCAAGAAGTCAGAGACTGGGTATTCCCTTAGCTATCTAACTGCGCGGTTTGGAGAGATCGCCACACCTCACTAAGCCCTGCACGCCTCAGGAAGACTGGGATGACACCTTCTGTGCTGCCCTCAGGTCGCTGTGAGGATTGCTCTGATGAGGTCCCCTACAATGAGAAACCGCAGTCACAGGTTCTAAGGATGACTTGCAAGGTGAGATTAAACAACGACACAAGACTCACGATATTAAAGTGGATGTGCAATTCCACTGGAGTTTGTCACCCCCTGTGCCTCTGAGGAGGACGAGGGATGTATTTCTCAAGCCACAATGCGAGTCCTGTGCACTGGCTTGTAGGGGCCCAGTCTCGCGTGGACCCTTCCTAAGACTGGTGAATCGAGACTCAAGTTCACCCGCTGATGGTGCCGTGCCTCAACAGCCTCAAACCTGTGGGATCAGGGCTGAAATCCGCACAGCACCTTCCAGGCATGTCTTCGAATCAGTGACTGCAAATCTGAGCCTGCCTCAGCTTCAGAATCACGTGGCTTCCAAGATAGTACCTGCAGTCACTCTGGAACTTGCTGGAGCCTTCACCAAGGGTGCCATCAGGATATTCTATGGAGGGTCTGGTTTCCCCTGGCCTGGTATTCTGCACTTGCAGGTTGAACAGGATGGTTCTAGATCTCAGTCCTTGGTGATCCCGGACGACTGCTTCCTTCAGAGATACGCTCGGTTTATACAATCTGAATACTCCCTGCCTGGTCGGGAGCTCCTGGCCCAATGCAAGGAGATGAGATGCAGCACTGTGGACTGACATCGAGAGGGCCCCTGTTTCCTCCTGCGGCATTGCAGAGACGGATGGAGGCCCTGTGTGAGCAAAGGGGCTGAGGCAATGTTGCTTTCTATCAGTGAAGCTCTGCACAGACTTGCCCTTGGGAAAGGAAGGTACTGCCGGCACTGGCTGAATGAAGCCCACTGAGCTCTGCCCAGACCTCTGTGTCCTGGCTGCTGGCACCGTGAGCAAGGGGCCTCAGTCCTCCTTGTGACTCTCCACTGCGGTCATCCCTGCAGCCAGGTGTGTTCCCAAACTAAGAGGCTGTGATGACCGTGGTGAAAAACAAGCGAAGAGTTCAATTGGATGATCTCTTGAGTGCCTTCAGCCTCAGCCCAACTTCTCTCCAGTGCAGGCCACACACGACCTCCAGGAAGCAGCGAGGGCTTGTCCTGTCCCCGCATTCCTTCTTCCCTGGAAACTGGGTCCAAGGGCAACGACTTCTCAGCGACCAGAAATGACCTGGTTCCAAGACATGTGGGTTCTTTTCTCTCTGCATCATCTTCTCAGTGTCATCTACTCTCAAACCCCATTAGCCAAGGTACACGGACAAGTCTCTTACCTTCCGAGACTCGGCTTCCTTAGCTGATGAATGGGAGAGTAAATCCTGCCCGGCATTTATCTCAAGATTGTTTCGAGGATTTAGACTAGCAGTTCTTCATCTCTTCGTGATAAGGGGCTATTTTCATTTTCCTTAAACCCTATGACTACCACAGGGTATTATGTCGTCTTGACAATGAAATGGTGGAGGGGGAAGGCATAAGAACCTTCTTTTCTTTCCCACTTACTGTTCCTAGATTATCGTCAAGTTTCTTTTCTCAGTCTGGAAAAGTCCATCAGTAAATAAATATTCATATATATAAATATATATGCTACATATATACACACGTTAGACCTTCAGAGGGCCCTTTGGGTCCTACTCTGGCAATGGCAATGGCAGTGCAGAGGAGCAGGAGGGAGCCCCATCGGATGCGCTGTCTCCCGGTTTTCCCAGCAAAGTCCCCTGCCTTGCATCTTCTCTGTCTCAGAACGGTCTGCCGCCAGGGCCTGGAACTCAAACAGGAAACACGCTTTGGCTTGCAAAAGAAAGAAGCTGGGGGTGGTATTTTCTTTTCTTCCCCTTTTGCACAATATTATGACACAATTTGAAAAATAAATCTCCATTTCTCCGCTTTCCCTCCCAGGTGTTCACAGGCCTAAGAAAATAAATACCACGTCTGAGGTGTGCTGCGCCGGCAGCTCTGGGGCTCTCGGAGCCGGCTCCAAACACACAGCCACCAGGAGAAGGCTTGGGGGCTGCATAACAAGCGGCCGGTGACAGCGCAGGGAACCAGGCATGGCGACCCAGCTCTCCACAGCCTTCCTGCCTCCTCAGTGAGTCCAGGGAGCAGTTGTCGCTCAGAGGACAACCAAGAAGCCAACGTGCGCTGGCCGCGCCCTGCCAGGGATGCTGCGCTGAGCGCTGGCGGCCGCCGCGGCCCTGCACAGAGGGAGCTTTGTGCAGGTGCTCAGCAGCCCGGAGCTCCCTCCCTTGACCACATCCGATCTCACCACAGGCAGGAAACCTGCAGGCCGCCCTCCACGAGCACCCGAGAGGACATCGCAGGGCTGCCGGAACGCGAGGGAGCCTTCTCTTTCAGTCTCCGGGAGTCTGACTCCAGGCCTGTGGCAATGTGGAAGCTGCTGTGGAAGCCAGCCACGCTGCTGGGGGACCCCGAGTCCAGTCCAAATGTCCTGTTGGCGCTGGCTGCGGTGGGGGGGCAGCCATCATTAAAATGGGTAGAATGTACGGCAAGGTGACATTTTCTTCTTGTGGGTCCAGTGGTTAGAGAAGAATGTGAGTGCGAGTGTGTGTGTGTGTGTGTGTGTGTGTGTGTGTGTAGTTACAGTTACTGGCTTTCTCTCCTGGGTTAGCTGGCATATGGCGCACTGTTCAGTCTTTTGAACGGCTCTTCCTTCTCAGCGAAAAGAAGCTGCTCTTCTGGGGAGGCCCCATCATCATGGGTGCTTGGTTCTTGTGAGTAATTTTAATCTAAAAGCAAAGAGGCAGACATGAGTTAGTGGTGTGGAAAGCGAGTTGCAGAGAGAAGGAAGGAGGCCAGCTTTGGGCTGGAAGGAACCCCATGCAGAGGGACAACTGTCCTTGGAAGGCTTCAACATTGGCAACTTGACCCTGACTGGGCCTGGAGATTGGCACCGCTGGAAGGGAGGGGCGGAAACACTGGGGCGAGACAGGTGTGAGCTTCCCACGTGGTGATCAGCTCGCACCTGTCTCGGGTCCTTGCTATTCATAGACTCTCAGAATGTCACAGCCATGGGAGACCTCAGGGGCCTTCTCATCCAGCCCCTGGGATGCGTGGAGAAAGGAACGGGAGCTCAAGGCTCCCTCAGGACTTGGTTCACACGGAGCGCGACACAGCAGCTGGCTCTTGGGGCTTCCAGCCTCTGTTGCGCCCTGGCAGTGCAGAGATGTCCCATCATGTGGACAGTTCCCCAGTGGGTCCCTTAGCTGTTTTCTCTTTTATTAGCCTTCTAGGAAGACCCTATTTTCTTTTAAAAGTGTGTCTGTGTTTAAATGTGTAGGGTTTATATGTGTTTTATAAACTTTAAGCCACCTAGAAGTGAAAGACACTGATGCATTCTCATTTTTGCCCTTTTTCTCTACCTTATCCTCAGGTAACGGCTTCAAAATTCCCATTGGAATGTGGCCTTGTGACACTGCCACTTCAATAATCCACATTATTAATCCATCAACAAGATGTCTCAAGTGTGGCATGCGTTCAGAGCAGGCAGATAATGTGAGGACAGGAGGCACTCAGGAGTCAGAGACCTGACTTTGAGTGCCAGAACTTCTCCTTTTTTTTTTTTTTTTTAATCTATAAGATTTTGGGGATGACTCATTTAGTCTTCAGAGTCAGTGTTTGTTGAACTGTAAATTTAGGATAATAACATTTGTCCCAATTTTCTCAAAAAGATCAAGTGATAGACTGTCAATGAAAGCCTACTGGAAACTGAAAATGAAGAGTAATGGTTAAATACTTATTAATTACATTGGGGGACAAACAGAAAGATGGATTAAAAGAAAAAGCCGGAATCTCTGAGCCCATTCTCCTGGTTTTTAGCACATTATTGGAGATGACAGCATGAGCACAGAGAGCAACAGAAGTCTTGACAGTGACTCATCAAAAAGTTCAAACTAATGTAGGATAAACCGAGTGGTGTCCGAAAGAAGTTAGGTGAGGAATAGGAAGAGTCCGAGGGAACAATTAAGAGCAGAAGGAAGGGAAGGGAATGTGTTGGTGGAAAGAGAGAGAAGCTGTTGGGTGGAGAAGGCACGTGTGGACGGGCTGAGCAGGAGGCAAAGGGGGAGGAGTCAGATCAGGGCACAGGAGGGGCAGCTGCTGCAGCGCTTCAAAGAGTAAGTGGCAAGAATGGGCTCACGGGAGGTGATGAGGAACCAGGGGGGTGATAAGGAACCACAGTGTTGGTGAAGACGGCCTTTGAAGCTGCAGAATAACATCAGGATCAGCAGCTGTCGCCAGGGTGGGCTGGAGGTGCTGGCTAAGAGGGTGCTACTTAAGCCAGGGTCACATTGGGAAGACTTCAGGAAATGGAAAGCAAGGCCCAGTAACGGAAGCAGAAATGACCCCTATGTTGGTTTCTGCCAGCCTAGAGACTTAAGGAGAGTGATTTTTCTTTTCAGTCACCAGAGGAGAAAGCCAAGGATACACCAAGCACTACTTTGTTTTGTGTGCACCCTTACTGTGTGCATTACGTCTAATCCAGAATTCATGAAGTGGGGCCAGCATTGTGACACAGCAGGTAAAGCTGATGGCTGCTCCACATCTGATCCAGCTCCCTGCTAATGTGCCTGGGAAAGCAGTGGAAGATGGCGGATGTGCTTGGACCCCTGCACCCACGTGGGAGACCACAAGAAGCTCCCGGCTCCTGGCTTCAGCCTGGTCCAGCCCTGGCCAATGTGGCTATTTGGGGAGTGAACCAGCAGATGGAAGATCACTCTATCTCTCTGTCTCTCCCTCTCTCTCTCTGTAACTCTGCCTTTCAGATAAATAAATAAATCTTAAAAAAAAAAAGAATCCATGGAGTGAGGCATAGACAGGGGACTGTGACCCCCCCACCCTACCATGCATGCAATTCAGCACTCTTGGATTTGTGGGACGCCTTCTCTTGCTCCTGAGCTCATGGGTTCTTGGAGGGAAAGGACTTTGGATTATTCACTTTGGAATTCCCTGAGCCAGCACAGTGCCTGTTCAGAGTCCGTGCTGTGGAAGTAGCGACTGATGGGCTGCACCAGGAAGGAAGAGCATCCTGGCAGGGGAGGTGGCTGTTTAGGGGCAGGGGGTGGCCGCTGGCCCACTGCTTACATTTCCCACTGATGCCATCCATTTGTAACATTTTTACTTATTTTTTTAATTTTCAGAAGCAGAGAGGAAGACATAGAGGGATGGAGACAGAGAGAAGGCTCTCACCCACGAATTCTCTCCCCAAATGCCTACAACAGCCAGGGCCGGGCCGGGCAGAAGCCAGGAGCCAGGAGCACAATCCAGGTCTCCCACCTGGGTGGCAGGGACCCAAGTCCTTGAACCGTCACTGCTGCCCCCCAAGGTCTGTGTTTGCAGGAAGCTGAAGTCGGGAGCCAACGGCAGGCACTGCACCCAGGCACTCTGATATGGATGTGGGTGTCTTAGCTGCTGGGCCAAATGCCTGCCTCCTATTCTTTGTGAGATGACAGAAGACTCCTGTTTCTTCTTCTAAGTAATGTATCTGTTCGTTAGTACCTCCAGGGCTGAGAGGAGGAAGTAAAACTCAAATCCATCTTATTTGGCTTTTCAGCAGTTTTGAGAAAGTTCTTGATGGGCTATGAGCTTGGAGTTCCTGCGTAACATGACATTTTGGTCAGCTTTGTGGATTCTGTTGCTACAGATAACCGAGAGAAGCATGAGATCATATCCTCATTCCGAATCAAAGAGGTACTCATCCTTTATCCCCAAATTAGGAGGGGCTACTGAGTGAAACAGTTAAGATCCCAATTTAGGATGTGGCTAACGTCGCCTTTTTAGCCCCCGATAGAAAGAGAGCATGCCACATTTCTATAGCTAAAGCAGGAAGAGCTCTGGGGATTGGGCAGCCCAGGAAGTTCACTACGATTTTCTTAAAAATCATCCATAAAATTCACGAGTTCTGACAAGCACTAAGGCCATCAGCTGCATGTGAAGTTTTCTGCTCTGTTACAGACAGAATTCAAACAGCAGACTCTCGTATGATAGGTCAACATTCACAAAACTGCCGCAGTATATGATTTCCCCTTTAAAACAGGATGATACTTGTGAGAGGTGTCTGTTTAGCCATGTCCCACATCAGACTACCTGACTTGGAAACTTGGCTCCAGCTCCTGACTCCAGCTTCCTGCTACTGCAGACCACGGGAGGTGGCAGTGAGATTTCAAGTATTTCCTTTCTGCCACTCCCATGGGAGATCTTGACTGAGTTCTTGGCTCTCAGCTTGGACCTTGCAAAGCCCAGACTTTTGTGTGCATTTGGGGAGTGAACCAATCATGAATGGGGAGTGTTCTGTCTCTCAAATAAATAAATACAATTTAAAATGAGACAAAATTGTAAGCTTCACTAGTGATGGAGGTTGATTTTGGTTGAAGGAGGGCATTTTCTGCAAATAAACACATTTTCATTACTGCAAGAGAAGACATAACCCGAGGCACTTTTTCCTGAACGCTGCTCCTCAGATGAGCAATTTTGAGATCATGCCTGGTAAGGTGGCCAATGACCTCTTGGAGAATGTCCAAGGCAGCCCTAATTTCAGCTGGAGATAAGTAGAAAGGCACAGTTTGCAATTGTCTCTGGGACATTTTCCAAAGTTAAGGAAGCATTCCTGCTTAAAGCGGACCTGACGCAGAATGGCAGCGAGCTTGTGGATTTTAGGCCTTTTTATTTCTGGGTTATCTGGAATCTTCCTGACCTGAGAGGCCTGCAAATGGAGCTGGACAGTCAGGTTTTGTGAGGCATGAAGTGTGGAATTTATGGATAACTTGGGCGGTTCTTGAAGTGTGGCCCTGGGCCACCAGCAGCAGCCCCGGCACCTGGAACTTCTTAGAAATGTGAGCTCTCAGGCATCCTGACTACGGAGTCCAAAAGCTGGCCGTCTGGCCCAGCCCTGTTACTCCGACACACATTCAAGACTAAGTATCAATGGACTAGAGATCTAGGATGAATTTCGTTTTCTTTCTTTTTTTTTTTTTTTAAATTTTCTTCTATTTATTTGAAAGGCAAAGTTAGAAAGAGATAGAGGAGAGACAGAGATCTTCCATCTGCTGGTTCACTCCCCAAATGGCCACAATCACCAGGGCTGGGCCACGCTGAAGCCAGGAGCCAGGTGCTTCTTCCAGGTCTTCCACATAGGTGCAGGGGCCCAAGCACTTGGGCCATCTTCCGCTGCTTTCCCAGGTGCATTGGTAGGGAGCTGGATTGCAAGTGGAGCAGCTGGGACTCCAACCAGTGCCCATACAGGATGCTGGCATTGCAGATGCTGGCTTAACCCAGCACGCCGCAGTGCCAGCCCCTAGGGCCACTTTCTTTCTTTTTTAAAGATTTGCGGCCGGCGCCGCGGCTCACTAGGCTAATCCTCCGCCTAGCGGCGCCGGCACACCAGGTTCTAGTCCCGGTCGGGGCGCCAGATTCTGTCCCGGTTGCCCCTCTTCCAGGCCAGCTCTCTGCTGTGGCCAGGGAGTGCAGTGGAGGATGGCCCAGGTCCTTGGGCCCTGCACCCCATGGGAGACCAGGAAAAGCACCTGGCTCCTGGCTCCTGCCATCGGATCAGCGCAGTGCGCCGGCCGCAGCGCGCCGGCCGCGGCGGCCATTGGAGGGTGAACCAACGGCAAAGGAAGACCTTTCTCTCTGTCTCTCTCTCTCTCACTGTCCACTCTGCCTGTCAAAAAAAAAAAAAAAGATTTGTATATTTATTCCTTTGAAAGGCAGAGTTACAGAGAGGCAGAGGCAG